CGAGGTAAACTCTACGCCTGTGCAAAACGTTAGCAGCATAGAAGTCGCCAGCGGATTTTGCTCGAAGACAAGTGTTTCCTAGCATTGAACTTTGATATTACAGAAGTTAAATGACATGATGGACACAATGGAAGCGCCACGAAGGGGAGCTACGTCATGAGTACGAGGCCAGTCGGGAAGAAGTGCGGGTTATTTATTCCATGTCTTTGCTATTGAGCTGTTTCATTTGATTTTACAGAACAAAATAAAAATTTCAAGCACACTAAAGTTAAAGATTCCCTTGTCGAGTAGAGAGACCAAGACAAGAGCAAGATTAATTGAACAAAGAATGAGAAAGGTCATGTATATACATGACAACATATCTTCCTGGCTTGGAACCAACAGGTGGCCGAGTCGGAGTGGGATGGAATCCCTCTGGGGTCGTCATCATCAACGGCAGCGGCAGCAGCGGCAGCGTTTGCGACACCGGGGCTGCTTGTGGCAGGCATCGTCCTTTTCCTGCTTGCTATGGTGGCCATCGTCACCGGCATCTGGATAACAAGGCTCTTCGAGCAGAAGGACTACGTAACGGACACTATTATCGAGAAGAAGCTGTTGAGCGGAATTGCGAACAAAAGTACGAATGTTTGCCCGAAAGACAAGAACTAATCTCCGATTGCGCTGCTGCAGGAGATACCAAAAACGAGCGAAGACATAAGCATAGAGCTGACTTCGCTGCTCAAACCTTCGGAGTGGATCATGAGATTTGAAGACGTGAACTGCTCACAAAGGAATTCCACAGATCTTTGGGCCCGAGCACGACAAAATCTTTCCGTTTGATCCGTTACTGGTTCCGCCAGAATTGGATGGTGAGCGGATTTGGACTCGTTCTCACATCTGGTGGCATACAGAAACGGACGCCATTCAGCCTGATAGCAGCATCGTCGAGGCAAACAAAGAAGTATAGCGTCGCTATTGCAGACAAACCACGGGTTTTGAAGTTCCACGATACCGGGTGGCTGTATATGCAACTGCGGTCTAAGTCTAGGAGTGGAACTACCTTTCTCGGTTTCAAAAGCGACACAACAAGGTATCTGTGATGCAAATTCTTTTTATCGGTTTTCTCTTGCTTCTTGTCAAAGGTTCTCCAGGATAAAATGACGGAAAAGAAACGCGTCTGGGGAGGCTCCAAACTGCACTACAGCAGTACTTGAATGGTATCACTGTCAATGAGAATGCTATCAGGTCTTCGTTTTCAATATTATCAGGTATCTAAAACAATTTCTCTCATCTTCCGCTCAAGAGACCATGGTAGAGAGGTTTTCTTGCTGTCTAGAGGCTGCAAGCTCCTAGCAAAGGAGAGGAGCCTCATGAAGACTAAAGAGACACTCGGCTATCTTCTAAGGGAATGTGAAGCATCATAGGCTGGCAAAGAGGCGCTTGCTTTGCTGTTAGCAACAAACGCCCAGGTAAGGTACTTGCTGTAGATTGTACGAGAAAGCTATGCTTGTGAGAAGCACTCTTAAATTAAAATAAAAGGAATGTTTATTGTGGATTGGGAGGCCTGCTGTTAGCAGAGGAGACTCGACTTCCCCACTCGAGGAGCTCCTTGCTCGTATCATCTTTGTGAACAATGCACTCTAGAAAACAAAGGCTGTCCTTCTTCTCGCCCTGAGCTTTGGCTATAGCTTCGATAAGATCCTTCTCATTTCTCACCTGAGGAAACAAATAAAAAGACTTATTTTAGAGTCTAGAAAAGGATAGAACTACAGGCCTACCTTTGCAGTCCAGCATTTGCCTTCATTGTTGTGAAACGCATCCACAACTCCGGTGTAGTTCCAGTTCTTGATGATGTTGTAGGGGCCATCGTGGATCTCAACTTCAATGGTGTAGCCTCCGTTGTTTATCAGAAAGATGATGTTCTTCTGGCCATATCGGATCATGGTAGACACATCCTGAGCAGTCACCTGGATTCGCGATCTCTCGTGCGTAAAAACCTTGAGACTACTAAAGAGTTGTGATGATACCTGAAAACTTCCGTCTCCAATGCATGAGATGACACGCTTGTCTTTGGCCGCTTGAGCGTAGCCCAAGGTAGCTCCAACTGACCATCCAATTGATCCATATTGCATCTGGAACTCAAAGCTTTTTTCGACAAGATGGAATGAGTTTCGATCGAGGAGATAAGTTCATCGTGTCTTACCCGCATCCATCAGGGAGCTTAAACTTCTGGCAATTGAACCAAGAATCACCAGTCTCAGCAATCACTGCACTGTCCTTGGACAACATCTCCTGAACCAAAACAACAAGCTTCCAACGTGAGAAAGGCAAGAGTTCGTGTACAAATCAAACACCTGGAACAAGAAGAGCCACTTTACCTGGATGTGCTTGAAGAGGACATTGACACGAAGAGCATCCGTGCTGCCGTGTGTCACAACGTGTCCCTCAGGAACATACATCCTCTGGAAGTTTTGGTAAGCAGTGTCGTTCTTGCGGAGCCTCTTGGCCAGAGCCTTGAGGAAATCTCTCATGAGAATGCAACCAAACGAGAGGCGACCTCCGATGGTCACCCTCTCGCTTTGCACCATGATAGCCTTCTCCTTGTTGATGAGCAGCGAGTAGCCAACCGAGCTGTAATCGTTGAAAACCGGTCCGGCAAAGAGATAGGCGTCGGCCGACTCGACGATCTCCAAGCAATAAGGAGTGCTCACGGCTCCCCAGTACGTTCCAATGAATCGAGGATAGGACTCTGGGAAGTAGCCCTTGGCGGATGGCATCACGGCAACTGGGTAGCTGCAAGCATCGGCGAGCTCCACAAACTCGTCCACCGCTCGGCAAGCTTTGAGCTTGTTGCCAGCCACGAGCACCGGCTTGACTGCCGCGTTTAGGAACTCCGCGGCGGCAGTGACTGCCGCTTCCAAGCTCTGGTAGTTGCTCATCCTGGCGAGAAGAGCAAGGAAAACGAGTGTGTCAACTTTACGTTTGGATCGATCGATCACCTGGGAGAGATCGCGTAAGGAACCGGTTCTTTGCTGAAAGTTGGATGCTCGAGGGCGGCGAGGTTGCAGCAAACGCTGATGTAGACGGGCTTGCTCTCGCGAAGAGCAGTAGAAATCGCTCCATCGATGAGCTCGTGCGCGTCTTCCAGGTGCTGGATCACGGCCTGTGGAAAAACTTTAGCATAGGCCTAGAGAGAAGATAGAACAACTAAAGATCTTGGCTATGGCTTCTCTAGATTACCTGTGCGCACGTCACAGCTTGGAAGCAGCGAAGCTCCTGGCTGAAATCCGGGATGCCAATGGTGTGGTGGAGGATCCGGTTGGTCCCATAGTCATTGGAATTGGGGCCTCCCACTATACAAATCACTGGCAAGTTCTCGCTGTAAGCTCCAGCGATGGCGTTGAGGACGCTCAATCCCCCGACCGTGAAGGTGACGGCGCACGCCCCAACCCCGCGGGATCGAGCGTAGCCATCGGCGGCGTAGCCAGCGTTGAGCTCGTTGCAGCAGCCCACCAGCGAGAGGCCTGGATGGTAGATGAGCTGATCCAGGAGAACCAGATTGAAATCCCCTGGCACCGCGAAGAGATCGCTCACGCCGATCTCCACCAGGCGCCGCGCGATGTGGCTGCCCAGCGTTGGCGAGCACGATGCATCCGGCCGTGGCATCTTGCGATTGATCGATCGATCGACCGATCGAGGAAGAATGCGATTGACCCCTGTTCTCCCCTGCTAAATAGTGATCGCCAATCGAGAGAGAGAAGAGGGAATCGCGGGATAGAAAATCTTTTTTGTTGCGGCCAGCCTCTTCACGGATGCTCGCCACCAAAGCAGGCCAAATGGCTGCTAGCTCGGCTATGGCGGCAGCAAATCCTAGCCGTCCATCTTCTTAACTCAAAAAAATCAAGGATTTCTTAATGTTTGAGAGATACACCTGAGCAGCAGTAGTTTTTTAACGGGAGAAAACAAAATTGGTGTTTCTCTAGCGATCATCGCCTGTAGCTCTATTGTTGCGGCCACTTTGGATAGACGCGCTTGTATAGATTCACGCATACCGCGTCTCTCTGCTGGACGACGCCATCGAACACGCATTTCATAGCTCCTGGAAGCACGGAAGTATAAGAAGCGAGCGAGGTTTTCTCAATCTCCGAAACACTGACCTCTAGTTCCTACTGGTTCCATGATCCGGCCCCTTCTTCCATACTTTGTCCACAGCTCAAGAGGCTGCAAAAGCATTTTCATGTTAGAGGGAACTCGTAAGCAACACTCCATCACCTTAAACCATTTGACGTCTTCGGGATTGTGAAACATGTAGCGAACGATTGCTTTTCTTTTCGAGACTCTAAGAGGGTATCTGTGGATTGATCAAGTCATGGAAAGGCCGTTAGAGAAATGCAGAACTGTGTCTGAGCTTACCCCGAAAGTATGATCTTCTTTAGAATGATCCTGTCCGGGTCTGCATTCTTCAGCAAACCTGATGCTACGTAGTGTAGATTTTGAGCGTCACGCTTGAAGACTACGAGCGGGCCGGGTGGGAACTGCACGGGCATAATGACCGACGCCACAGAGAATCGTCCTGCATGAAGAAAACGTTCGTACTTATGCTTGTTCATGTTGATATCGTCAGTGGAAAATATGGGCCTACATCAAATTCACATTCAAAAAAGTAACAATGTGAGTGTCTCTAGAAACTTTGAGAGAAGATTGGCTCACCTGGTGAAATAAGATCGAAAGCCTATGTGGAAAAGCAAATTCTCTTTCGATTTGATTGGTTCCGTGAAGCTATCGTTCTTCTTGATGCTGCCAGAGACGTCAACAGGACGTGTCATGCATACGTAGAAAAAGAAAACAAACTCTTAACGTCTCACCTGAAATGCACGACGGTCATCTTGGATTCATGCTGGAATAACCCACAGGCCACCAGAGGACACGTCCTATAGGATTCCAAAAGGCTCGCAGCGACGGAACTCGAGAAGTTCCTTATATGAAGTCTCACAAACGAGCCCGTACACGCTGAGAACGCCTCGTCGACGCAGCTAGCCTTCTTGGTAACATGCTTCATTGTTCTGTTAAAGTTGTCAAACGCAAATATTCTTGCGTAGTCCGCTGGCAGAGATTCCTGAGCAAACGCATTACTTTGAGAAATGACAAGGAAGGAGACGAAACCTTTGGATCCCAAGCTGAAGTTCGCATGGATTTTAATCCTCTATATCTGGCAAAACGCTCTCTAGCTGGTACATCCATGGGTGTATCCACCTCATCCGGAAATTCTGAAAATGCGCGGGCGCTAGAAAACGTAAAATAAAAATAAAAGAATCGTTCAGACCTTCATCGCTTCTAACAGCCTCTTTCAGACGCTGAATCTCTTCTTTACGCTGACTGATGCTCAAAGGTTCATCATCCTGCAAGCACAACACAGCAATGTTTAAAAGACACCACAGATGCCGCTTCTTTTACCATCATTTCGCTTGTGTCTGCTTCAGTCCCCTCGTCCTCAAATGCGCCGCGTGATGCATCATCTTGATACTCATCGTCACACTGCATCTCTTGTGTGTTTTCGGCATTTTCAATGTCACTTCCCTCTTCTTCATCAGACTCATCCATAATCCAGGATGCCTATATGAACAGAAAATCATTGCTGAATAAAATTCAACACCTCAAACCTGATAATCAGAAGTCCCCTTGGGCAGCTTTCTGCGTTTCCGGCCTTGGTCTCGGACATCAGATTTAGCCAGTTCTTCTTCGGTTGGCCATGTCTACACGCACGACATGTAAATTCATTCCCTCTTCTATAATATGGGGTTACCTGCTCGCCAGCAAGAGGATCAGGGATGTTCTCTATAACAAGAGCTTCCTGCTTGTTTGGATCTGGAAGTATTTCCTGCGGCCAAAAAATAAAATGTCAAAGTTCCCACCCGTGTTACGACGCGTTACCTTGTGTGCGTCTACTGCCATGCCGTCAAACTTTTTATTAGACAGAGGGCAAGGATCGTCAAGAATCTCCATCTTTTCCAACTGAAAATCCCCTATTCCTGATATGTGAATCTGCGACAATTTAATGAGAAAGCTCGGTCTACATCTTAAGCACCATCTATTTTAATTACCAGCTTATTGACTGAAAGGCTTTGCTCCCGAACATAGCCTGAAAGACGCAGCGTTCCCACGCTAGGAGAGTGGGAATCAGCTTCAAAGGCAAGCTTCATGCAACAAGGCTATAAGCACAGCAACGACATTTCCGACGAGTGCTAACCTGCTCTGCCATTACGTATGGCCGCTGCGAACGCCATTGAAGGTGAGAAGGACGCTGCTCGGAAATATGCCTAAGCATCTGCACTCATTGTGCGTTAAGAGGAAACGAAAGAAGTATGTATAAACCTGTTGAGCTTCGTCGTTGCTACTGCCATCGAAGGTTTTTACGTGAGGAGGAAATTCAGCCTCGAGTCTATCGTGATAGAGCTTCCTAACATCTGAGCGTTTCTTAGAAGCCACATCTCCCAACCCCTGCCACATTGTTTATCAATCGTAAGGAAAAGCTCCGAGCTATCGTACCAATGGAATGCCAATAGTATGTGGGAGACCTTGTGCCTTCAACATGGAAAGAACAGGCTTGCCACTCTTTTCAAAAACGTTTTCGTCATTCTCCGCTACGGAGAACACGAAAGCAACAATGTCTGCCACCTGCAAGCACAGGATCTTTGTTACAAACTGCGATCATCGACCTACACAGAAGAAAAAATCACCTTGACAGCTTCTAGGCAGGTTTGGAGGTCCCCGTAAGGTGCCTCAAGCACCTACACGAAAAGTTTTGCAAGATACGATTGGAAAAAGTTTCAACAGCCTTACTTACAGTTAATCTGAATTTGAGTCTTGGTATACTGATGGAACCGAGACTTCCCTCACTTCGATTTTCAGTTTCCATGGCGTCAACAGCACCGGACTCATCGCCCAGGCATGCTGCAACAATTCTCTTCTTGAGTTCTCCAGTTTGTGCCCGAGAATCCAAAGGAACCAGAACCTGGGGCAGAATAGCAAGTCCTACGCAAGCACAAATATTAAAAGAACTCACGAGTACACGAGGAGCACTTTTATCTCCTTTAATTCCACGCCTCTCGGAGAGCAAAATCGCTCGTTTGCTGTCACGAATCTAAAACACAAGCTCCGTTAAATTCATTCCACGGGATTCAATCCTCTTACATTTTTGTTCCTCTGCAACCTGAGCTCCTTGGCACTCTGCTGGACTGCGGATTTCTTTGAATTCTTCTCCTCTGCAAGAGGAGTCACAAACTATATCACTCTAATCCGCGCGACTTACTTGTAGTCCCTGCCAATTTGTGATCTCGACGAGAAGATTTGGAGGAGAAGCGCGTCTTGTGAGCCTTGTTCTTCTGCGCTCTCCCCGATCCAGCCATTGCCGTTATAACCCCAAAACCCTAGCTAGGGTAATGGACATTGGCCGTTTTTCCCATTTAAAAATTTTAGGGCTCTTGCTATAGCTATGGCGGACCGCAGGTATTTCTCTGGATTCCTAGCGTAGACCGGCGCGATCGGGCGATGAACAGCGAGGCTAGCTTCATTCGCGAGGAGCGGCGTCTCCTCACCGAGCAGATCGATAGGCAGCGACAGTCGAGGAAGGAACTCCTCAACAATCTCCGCAATGCCGATCCAGAAATCTCGGCCTCGCTGGATCTCGCAGCCGCCATGTCTGACTGCTCGCCTCGGTTTCTTCCACGGCCGCGCAGGGATCGCAAGCCAGAGCGAGCTCTGGATTCCCAGGCCGGGCAGCCAGACTCGGGTAGCGCATTGGAGCTTGTCAAGGGATTGATCGCCGGCTGTTTGGTTTCTCCAGGCACTGCCATTCCCATCGACTCGATTGGACTGGCGAGGAGAATGCCCACAGATTTTAGCGCGGCCGAGAGAGAGGCAGTGGATTTGATTGGGGGGCCTGGTGGTGTGATTGGCGCTGTTGAGGCAGGCTTGAGAGCTCTTGCTGATGGGATTGGAGCTCCAATGGAGGTCGAAGAGTGCGTTCTTGGTGGTAAGAAAAGGATCATGGTTCTCAGCGTGGACAAGGCTAGATTGGCAGGAGAAGCTCGTGGTCATTCGCAGCAGCCTTCTGGCGACAGTGGATCGCTCCACTCGGCATCCGCTCGGTCGACCACAAATGCCGAGAGCGGGCATTTGCACACGGTTTTTCCTCACGCGATGGGACTTCCCCCGAGGATGATGGCTGGAATGGGATTTGGAGGTATGCTTCCTTTCCAGCAAAGGCCTGGACAATTGCCCACGAAATCTGGCAGTGAGGATGTTATGAAGGATCTGGAGACTTTGCTCGCCAAGAAATCGTATCTCGAGTCACAAAAATCAAAGACTGGAGAAGAGCTCTTGGATCTTCTTCATCGGCCGACTGCGAAGGAGACTGCTGTGGCAGCAAAGGTTTGTTTCTCAACTCTTTTTTTTCCTTTTCTGTTTACTCTTATATGGTTGTCTGTTATCGCAGTTTAAAACAAAAGGTGGCTCGGCCTTGAAAGAGTACTGCCCATCACTGACGAAAGAAGATTGCCGTGGTCATCGAGGTTCTTATTTGCCATGCGAAAAGGTCGTTCGTTTCATTGCTGCTACAAGCGAGTTTTAACCCCAAGCTCTCTGTATGTTCGCAGATGCATTTTCGCAGGATCATTTCTCTACACACGGATGTGAACTTGGGCGATTGCTCGTTCCTGGACACATGCAGACACATGAAGGTATGGATCTTCTTCCCGCAAGAGCTTTGAAAGAAAGTCAAATTCTCGCAGACATGCAAATACGTCCACTACGAGCTTGATGCTACGCTAGATGTTCCTGGTGTCTCACGCTCGCTTTCGAAACCCAGAGCCGACTACTGCTCTGAGGTTGAGCTTGGCGAACCGCAGTGGGTCAACTGCGATATCCGTTCCTTCAAAATGGAAATACTCGGCCAGTTTGGAGTCATCATGGCTGATCCTCCTTGGGACATTCACATGGAGCTTCCATACGGAACGATGTCTGATGATGAGATGCGGAACTTGAATGTTCCGGTCTTACAAACGGACGGGCTTCTTTTCCTCTGGGTAACAGGACGAGCAATGGAGCTTGGACGGGAATGGTAACAAATCTTTCCTCTTCGATTATAGTTTTTTTCTTGCTAAGAGCAGTTTCTTTTCTCATACAGCTTGGAACTATGGGGCTACAAACGAGTCGAGGAACTTATCTGGGTGAAGACAAACCAATTGCAACGGATAATCCGGACCGGACGGACAGGCCACTGGCTCAACCATTCCAAAGAGCATTGCTTGGTTGGGATCAAGGGCAACCCGGAGGTAAACAGGAACATTGACACTGATGTCATCGTAGCCGAAGTCAGGGAGACAAGCCGAAAGCCGGACGAGGTTTCTTACATACTTTATACGTCTTTCTCGTCTTTTCTTCTCACCAGCATTCTTTTATCTTGTGTGTAGATGTATCCAATGCTGGAACGAATAAGTCCTCGAACGCGAAAGCTGGAGTTGTTTGCCAGAATGCACAACACACATGCAGGGTACAGTTCCCTCTCGTGTTTCTCTGTTTTTCTAGTCGAGCTATCTGTTGGATGTTTGATTCTTTCAGGTGGATATCTCTAGGCAACCAGCTGAACGGTGTTCGCCTGGTTGACGATAACCTGCGAAGGCGTTTCAAAGCAGCATATCCAGATGTTGAAGTCCACCCTCCTAATCTGTCTTTCGGCACTGAAACATCTTCGTCTCAAGCTCCTCTTTTGGTGTGACACACGTAAGTAATTCTCTGTTTATTTCAATCTCTCTGATGACTCCTGCATTTTTTTCCTCAGAATTGTATGCTATGGTGTCAAGCTTTCTTCGAGTGCTGGAGATATCACGCCGAAAGAAGGTGTGAGGCCGGTAAGCTAGTGTCAAGTTTGATTCTTGGACGTAAACTGGCCCTTGGCTATGCAGTTTATTGCGTGTTGCTGCAACACGAAAAGCTTTCTTGTGGAATAGTTCACCCAAGAGTTTTTCTATCTCTAATCAAAGATCGAGCAAATCCAGCATTCCAAATTCTTCCCTTGCGAGATTAGATGATCATTTGTACAATAACGTCCAATAACAAAACACTAACAATAACGAAATATCATTCTAAATGGACCATTCAAGCTGCAAAACTGAGGGTTCATCCTGTTCTTTGCCAACATGTCTACAATCCACACCAAATTCCATAGCCAGCCCATCAACAAAGAAATAGATCTCCTCCCTGGGTACCTCCTTGAGCATAACCTTACTGCAAAAGTCATGGTTTCCGGTGAGAAAAACGAAGTCTTTTCTTTCTCTATCCCAGCACCCGCTGATCCACTGCTGGAATGACTCTTTCGCTTCCTGGCCTAAGGTATCAAACCAGAGCCGCATGCTCCTCCACTCCAGAAAAACGTCCCAGATAAAAGGAGTACAAAGCTCGGGATCCTCCTCGTACCAGCACCAACTTTCATCATCGTCACTTCGCATACTGTTTGGAGCAAAGAATTGCGCGCCGCCAACTATCATCCGCTGCTTCCAAGCTCCCAACCTTGGTTCGCTTTCTAAGGTTTGAGCGGCAAGCCTGTCGCAGATGTAGGTCCTGGGAGAGGAAGTGACTCATCAATTCAAAACATATCTGTGTATGTACCTTATTTCAGAGCTTGGACGATTGATCATACTCATCCAGTGATCTTTGTGCCATTGCAAAAGCTCCAAGCTCAACATCGTACAAGAACGAAAGCCCTAAAACCAAAGCTCTATTTATGGAGCCCTAAAACGTAGGGCTCTGAGGTTTAAGCTGAGTTGCTTGATCTGGCATCTCACTCGAGAAAGAAGAGAGAGGCGAGCTTCCTCGATGGTTTCCATCCATGGAGGAAGCTGCAACTCCAGCAGCCAAAGGACTTCAAGCGACGAGCGATTGCTCTAGGGGATTTGCTGCTGCTCCAAGGCAACTTTGACGAGGCTGAGGCGAGCTTCCAGAGGGCGATATCTTCCGCGGCTACTGCTGGCGATCGAGACGAGGAGAATCGCGTCACAGCTCAGGTGAAGCTTGGGATGCTGCTCGAGAACTTGGGTCGGCTGGACGAGGCGGAGTTCCAGCTTAAGCAAGCGTCCTGCACTGGCTCCACTACTCACTATGGGGTTTTCAAGTTCCTCCAGCTCTTCCTCTTCGACCATGGCACTGCCACAGATCTCTCTGCAAGCGTCGACGGTTGCTGTGGTGGAGCGCCGCCTTACACTGTACGAGTCTCGGACGATTTAAGCTGTGCACGGTTTGGACGGCTCAGGCTGGGCCTTGTCAAGTCAGCCTGAGCCGGCTCAGGCAATTGCAGAGCTCAAGCTCAAGCTGGCCAACCGCCCACACATCACACACGACGCATCTTTGCATCTCCGACGAGTTGGGGAAGTCCGGGAAAGTTGGTGTCGCTGTTGAGTCTTTGGAGAAACTTGGACAGAAGAAGGCGATTGACGGCTCGTGGATTTGGCTAGAAAATCCAAAGAGTATCCTGTTAGCAGCGCCTTGTGTACAAGACACCACTTTGGGATCTCTAGCTTGGAGGGGGCATAGATTTGCGAGAACCAGACAGCAAAGTGAAGTATAAACACGGACAAGGTACAGGCTTCACTTTTACAGGCTGAAAGTTCTTGTCCTGCTTACAGCTTCCAAGTTTATACTCGCCAAGCGGTCATACCTTGAGCCTCAAACTTGCATCTTCTTCGTCAGCGGTTTGGTTTCTAGAATGTTTCTGTCATTTCCCTCGTCACATTGCCTGTTGTAATTTTAAATTGGTCACACACAGGAAGAGTTCTTTAATCAGATGCAGGATCATTGCTCACACGGAAGGTATGGATCTTCTTCTCGAAAGGGCTCTAAAAGATTTTTATTCTTGCAGAAATGTGCTCCACAATAGATGGGTGTTATACGTGGAGCCGAAGCGCACTAGAGACAAGGCCTAAGCTCGCCTCAAGTTTTCGTAACCGACTGGAAAAGAATTTCAATTGCAAGGTATGATTCAGTTTCATTTATACAGTGTCTCATTTTAATACGATATCATCCTGAAGTGTTACCTAGTCTCTTGGTGCTGTATTGGGGTCGCGACTGTATTCGGACCGGAGAAAATCCAGCGTTGCTCCGAGTGTTGACGATGTTGAGCTCTGCAATGGCACAAAAACGCTGGGTGGGAATGATCAATTGTCCAAGCTAGAGTACATTTTATATTGGATGGACACTAAAGATCCCCTTATACTTTACAAAATCGATTAGTTAATTTCGCTCCAAACTCATAGTCTAGAAAACGCTGGTGACGAGTAGTATAGTCCAGAACACGTTGGGACGAGTGGAAAAACGCTGGGACGAGAGGTATAGAGGATCGGTGTCGCTCCACCATACATGACGGCCTGTGCGTGCTCATCGACGAATTGGCAGATTCATTCTTTATGTCGAGCAAGAACTGAAAGCTGTGTCGTATTTGCCCCGCTGAAGATTCTCGACGAGATTGCGCAGTACCTATTGCTCCAAGAAACACTCTTTAGCCTCGATCAAACCTATGAGAGCAGACCTCCGCTTGATAGAACCTCGCAAGTCGTGAAACTTGCGGGCAGTGGATTCCGACACATCGCCGCCAAGAGCCTCGTAAATCGCTCTGACCCACATGCTCGCGACCAAGCAGCGAGGGCGTCGAGGTAGGGAAGCTCTTGCGCCGCGACATGGAAATCGATCCAAGAGAGGAAACCCGGAAGCTTTCGAGGAGGCGAAACGAGGACGAAGAAGAGTATAAAAAGCTTGCCAATAAAGTTAGGGTTCAAGCTAGGGCTCTGAAATGGCGAGCGCTCTGGACCGTGGCACTCGTCCGTGGCTGCCCGTTCTGCATCAAGCTCAAGGTGTCACCGATTCGCGTAAGTTCCTTCTCCCATACAAGAGGATCAGGCAGCAGCAGCGAAGTATCTCACTCGAGAAAGAAGAACTGAAAGAAGAGAGAGGCGAGCTTTTGGCTCTGGCGCTGGCGCGCTCCCCTCGGTGGTTTCCAGTCTTCGACGAGATGGTTCCGTCCATGGAGGAGCTTACGCATGCCCAGGAGAGGCTGCAACTCCAGCAGCCAAAGGACTTCTCGCGACGAGCGATTGCTCTAGGGGATTTGCTGCTGCTCCAAGGCAGCTTTGACGAGGCTGAGGCGAGCTTCCAGAGGGCGATATCTTCCGCGGCTACTGCTGGCGATCGAGACGAGGAGAATCGCGTCACAGCTCAGGTGAAGCTTGGGATGCTGCTCGAGAACTTGGGTCGGCTGGACGAGGCGGAGTTCCAGCTTAAGCAAGCGTCTTCTACTGGCGCCACTATCACTGGTGTTACTCACTATGGGGCTCTCAAGTTCCTCCAGCTCTTTCTCTTCGACCATGGCACTGCCTCAGCGTACCGTGATCTCTCTGCAAGCATCGATGGTTGCTGGGAGTTTCGAAAGTGGTGGAGCGCTGCGTCGACTGGCCATCCACTCTACGAGTCTCCCTATGGATTTGTCGACGACTTGAGCTTTGCATGGTTTGGACGGCTCAGGCTAGGCCTCGTGCACAAGCTCGTCACCAAGAAGCTCAAGCTGGCCAACCAGAACTTGTTCGTAGCTCACACATCACACAGGACGCATTCGCTGCTGGCTGTGCATCTCCGACGAGTTGGGGAAGTCCGGGATCATTGGTTTAAGTTGGTGTCGCTGGATGGAGTTCCTGTGGAGTCTCCGGAGAAGCACAGCAAGTATTGGACTGAAGAAGACGATAGACGGCTCTTAGAACGCGTCGCTTTCCAAGATCCAAAGAGTGTCCTGTCGCACCGCCTTGTGTGCAAAACACCACTTTGGGAGCTCTAGCTTGGACGGAGCAAGACCCAGACAGCAAAGTGAAGCCTTGCTGACAAGGTACGCAAATACGGAAGGAACTGCTCGGGGATAAAAGAACACTGCAGCACAGGAAGAGGTTTCTTATATCAGACGCAGGCCTTGATACATGCAGAAACGTATGGACATTCTTCCCGCAAGAGCTCTAAAAGGAGCCATGATCAATCAAAGCCTGAAGGTGGTTCCAGGTTTCTGATCCATCCATGGAGGAGCTTCAGTACGCCCACCTCCAGTGAAAGAAACAGCCTGCTCCAAAGATCTGGGAGGACACAACAGCACAATGAAGCCTCAATCTATTGACAAGGTATGCGAGTGTACATGCGGCTTTGCTTGAAAAGGCTTTCAACATTCAACTACTGAATTTCCCAGCTGGAACTTCTCAGATCTTGTTATGGTGTCATTCAAGCAGCTCTTCTACAGCCTGAATAGCTTCGTCCAGGGAAGGGCTATGATGCATTTGGATAAGTGGAAGTCAAAGGCTCAAGCATTTGCATTTTGTGCCAAATAGTTTAATAGTTTAGTTGAATAGTTAAATAAAGCTCATCAACCAAATATTTTAACAGTCTTCTAACTTTACATTTAAATTTTAATTGTATTTGAATTAATTTTCTTACAACTAATTGTCAAAGAATATACCTAAATATCCAAAAATATTTAAGTATATTCTAGCATCCTTTTCAATTGTAAATCAAGAGTTTTGGACAGTTACAAGTGGTTAGAATTGAGTCATCCTAAATTGATGAAGAAAATTGGTGACAATTGAGTGATATCTTAAGATGACAATAAAATACAATCTATCTTCCTTTACATTTGTTTTACACTCAAATTTGTGTTTTCAAGAATATTAAGAATAAAACCAGAGTTAGAATTAATCTTTATTTAGGGTTTACAGATTATACATTAAAGTACAAAATTAAAAGTATATAATTCTCAATTTTACCCTTTGATGGCCAATTACAATAGCTTCAACCATAATTATAGCTTGATTTCAGGGAATGCTGAGGTGGTTAAAGAAAAATATTAATTGACATGGACTTGTATTTAGATAAATCATAAACCTTGTATTTACAAGGAAAAAATATAACAAACCGAGTGTTTCTTTTCTTACTTCAATTTTATGAATCTTATATTAAATTTAATTATATTTATATTCTTACCTTACTACTATAATAATTATGATTATATTTAGAAAACACATCCTCATGATTTAATTTTATATGAGTAAAACATTCAAAATTTTCATGTTATATAAAAAGGATTAGGAATTA